ATGTGGCAACTCCAACAAAGGGCTGTTTAGAGCTTGTGAATGAATTACTTGTACCCATTATAAAGGCGAAGGGTGAGAAGAACCTGACAAGGCAGGAGGTGAGTTTCTTGAGTAGATATTGAACTTCCAACTCACTACTTGATCTGTTTAGGCTGATTGCTAAGGTCAAGTTTGTCTTACAAAACTTTACTTTGGAGAGCACCCTGAGAAAGCCTTATATGTTTCATCTTTTGCCTGTATTGCAGAAAGGTATTCTCTTGGATTGTGAAACCCAAATCGAGGGTCTACTTGCAAGTGTTTTCGAGAACTACAAATCGCTAGATGAAAACTCAACCACCGGTTTGGTAGACTTGCTTGGTCCAACGCAAGAATCTGCTGCACCAGCTCTTGCTCCTGCAGTCCAAGTATTTACCCTCCTTCATGATATTCTTGCTCAAGATGCACAGAATATGCTGAGGAACCATTTGCAGGTAAATAGTGTTTCATAAAATGAGGTTGAAAATCTAGAGGGTCTGTTTGGTTTGGCATTTCCAAGGGACATTGGGCCCAAAGTCCCTTGGCCAAATGCAAATAGCGTTTGGCAATTTTTTTTGAGCACTTTGGGGAAATGCAATTGCATTTCCAAAGCCCTCTACTGTTCATTTTCCCCGAGCATTTGGTTCGGAGGAGTTGCGTGACCCCGGCCACTGCCGCCCGAGATTGCCCGACCTTAGGCGGCGGCGCCTAGGTCATGCGACCCAGGCAAGGCCGCCTGTGGTCAACCCCCAGGCGGCGGTTGCCGGGGTCGTGCGACCTAGGGTACACCTGAGGTTGGGCGACCTCAGGCGAGGCTGGCCGGCGGCGGTTGGCCGGTGGCCGTTTTGGCCCGTCGGTGGCTGAGAGCTCCACCTCAATTTTTTTTTTAAATATTAGCAAAAGTCCTTTACAAAATTAGTTTTTACCAAACGGTATTTAGGCCAAAATTGCTTTCAAATGTGATTTTAAAATACACTTTACCAAACACTAACTGCATTTTGGAAAACCCCTTTAGCCCAAAAGCTTTTGCATTTTGCCAAAGACAACCCAAAGTCGAACCAAACGGGCCCTTAATGGTTTGACCTACAACTTCAGCTACATATTATGAAGTAGGGGGATTCAGCTCTTTATTAGGATGTTCATGGCCTAATACAAGTGGCCAGGGTATAGGTCATCATTTTCAAGATAAACTTTCTAAATAGATGCCATCAATTTGTTAGTTCTGCTGGCAAATATGCATTATTAATTTATTATGGCTTCGTTTTGTTTCAACCTCTGACAGACTGCTGCAAAGAAGAGGTGTCGGAAGCATATGTTAGAGACAGATGAATTCGTGTCAAGCAACTCTGATACCTTTCTAGTTGATCAAGTTACCATATCGACAGCATATCTAAAGATGAAGAATTTGTGCATCAATTTAAGTAATGAGATACAAGCAGATATCAAGATCCACAACCAGCATATACTGCCAAGGTACTAAAAGCTTTTGTGAACTCTCCTCAGAAACTTGCTACTGACAGTAAATGTGATTTGGAGTTTGGATATAATCAGTGAAATGGACAGTACTAGACAGGAATCAAGAAGCAGACAGAATAATTGCATATTTTCCACTGTCATTTAATTTAGTTGGTCATGGTATGGTTCGATACAAAGTTTTGTGGGAAGGGTGTGCTTGAGATCATAAATTCAAATTAATGTAAGCTGAAAAGTGTTGTCCAGACGTTCACCTGCCAAAAGTACATACTGCTTATGTCATTGGGTTTCTAACATGATTGCTCTGTTGCAGTTCAATTGACCTGTCGAACATCGCAGCTGCTGTGTACAGTACCGAGCTATACAGGAGGATTAGTGCTTTTCTTGCTGCATGGCCTCCATCTAGTCCACTGCCATACGTAAATGAACTCTTAAAGGCAACAGCTGATTTCGAGAGGGATCTCGAGTTATGGAACATCAGGTTTGTGAAAGAAAATTTGCTCTGTCATAGAAACGATTTGTGCAGTGATGGAAAAAGTAGGAGCACAGCTCACAAATGCATCTAGAACTCTAAGGAAGTAACTAATCATACTCTAAGGAACTCTAAGATTTGTCAAGCGATGTGGGATAATATTTCAACACCCCCACTCACGTGCAAGTCGGATTATGAGCGGCATGTGAAATTTTGATTACGCATATTCACATGGAATTTTGACCATGCACATTCGCGAAAGGGATAGCACTAGCTCCGATACCATGTTAGAAAGTCCAATCCAAAAGCTCAAGCTGATAAGTGGAGGGAGAACACATGAATATAAAGAGCATTTAGGACCTGTTGTCAATTGACGTGGAATAATATTTGAACACATACCCTATTAGAAGATGGAACTTATTTTTGACACGCTTGTGCTGCAGTCCAGTGCAGGATGGACTTGACTCGCGGAACTTGTTCGACAGTTATATCATAGTGTGGGTACAGGAAATGCAACTGAACTTGCTGGAACTCTGCAAAGCAGAAAAGGTATTTTTCTTGAGATGTATCAGCTTCCATTAGCATATATGCATATCTCTCTAACCCGGCCAAGTTTTAGTTGGTGTGTGAAAGTAAGTAGTTACTCGGCCAAGTTTTAGTTGGTGTGTGAAAGTAAGTAGTTACTTGTTTTCCAATAAAGTTCATTTGCTACATATTTGCAGGTTCCATGGTCAGGAGTAATAACAAATCATTTCACCTCGCCTTTTGCGGAGGAGATGTATGATAAAATGAAAAATGCTCTTACTGAGTATGAAGTAGTGATCAATCATTGGCCGCAGTACTCTCTCATTCTGGAAAATGTAAGCACTATTTCTGTCCTAGAGTTGAGAGCAAGTCTCAGATATGAATGCAATTCTCGGCTAATTAAAAATGCAATAACAACTTGTATGCTACCTTGTGATCATCGTATTGACTGATGTTTCTTTGACTTAATTAAAGGCCGTCGCGGACGTGGAACGAGCAATTATAAAAGCACTGGAGAAGCAATATAATGACATCTTGACTCCGTTGAAAGATAGTATCCCAAAGAGGTTGAATATGCAGGTTCAAAAGCTGACAAGACGACAGTCAACAGCAGTATACTCTGTTCCCAGCCAGGCAAGTACTTTAAAAGTATACGACATCAACATGGTGTCGTAGTAGTTACCGTTACCTCAAGTTTTTCTGAAAGAAGGGATTACTTTCACCACAAGGCTGAGAGATTGGAATGTGGTTCTTTTTTCAGTTGGGGATATTCCTGAACACCATAAAGAGAATACTAGATGTTCTACACTGTAGAGTGGAGGACATGTTGAAGTGTTGGGCATCCTATCTACCTGTGACTGGAGATAAGAAGTCGCTGTTTGGAGAACAGATGAATGGAATCACAGTTCTACTGAGAACAAAATACAAGAACTACTTGCAAGCAACAGTAGGAAAGCTTGTCACCAATGTAAGTGTCTCTTACTTTCCCTAAAGATGAAGTAGTTGGGGAGATATACGTTAAGTCATCAAAGGAACTCACGTATCTATCAACTTTGGACTTGGCCTAGAATAACATCCAAAGGAAAGAACTTAAAGTATTAAATGTGATGGAGCTATATTTCTAGGTTCCACTAATTACTGCTTCAAGCTTTTCTACTTAAATGTTTTATTACAAGTAAAATCCTGAAGGACAAAAATTTGAGAATGGCTACAATTGATTTGAGAATTTTTAAGCTCCAATTAGATACTTAACTAATGCTTTTGTATAGATGCAAGAAAACCGTAGTACACGGTTGAAAAGGATTCTGGAAGAAACAAAGGAAGAAGATGGAGAGGTTGAGATCCGTGAAAGAATGCAGATGCTGAGTTTACAACTCATTGAATCGATAACAAACTTACACGAGGTCTTCTCGAGTCAAATATTTGTCGCAACATGTCGTGGGCTATGGGACAGGATGGGGCAGGTTAGTGCATTATACTTGATATCAATGTTTTGAACAATTTTATGGTAAATTAGATATGAACCGTATTTATACTTTTGATTTTATGGTGCTGCCACGCCAGATTGTTTTGAAGTTTCTCGAGGGCAGGAAAGAAAACCGAGTATGGTATAATGGATCTTATTATGCTCTTGTGGTACGTGCCTTCATCTATTTTCAGATCCCATCTACGTATGTCATTGCCCTGGAAAATTTTCATTGGGTACAAAACATTAACTTTTTCTTGATTCCTATGTAGTAATTGCTCAAACAAATGTCTAGTACTCCGTCTGTATTCTAAAGAAAGGGCTATTCGACATTCTTATGATGTTTTTCTTTCTTTCCTTTCTACACCGTAGATATTGGACGATACATTTGCTTCTCAGATGCAGCGATTACTAGGAAATGCCCTTCAAGAAAAGGATGTTGAGCCCCCTCGCTCAGTGACTGAAGCTCGATCGATACTCTGCAGAGACACGGCAAATGCTGCAGATTCATCGAGTTACTTCTATGTGTAGATATTATACCACCGCCGGGCATCAATTTTTTGGTGAATCTGTCATTTCTTCATGTTTAGCAGAGTGTACAGGACCACACTTTAGAGCCCAAGCTTTTTGAAGGTTCTTCCATATGAGATTAAAAGCTTGCATCATATCATATGTGTATCATATCGTCCAAATATCACAAATTTTTTATGTCAATAAAGGTTCATTTTCTGTTTGTTGCGTGATAATCTACTTGTCTGCATAATGAACAGTACTGGCGACCATCAAAAGCCATTGTTAAAACTCTGCCAAGCTTTCAGCAGGACAAAGGGGAAACACGCATATGGCTCATTTGATTTGTGCATCATTTCTTATTTATTGATATTAATCCAAAGGTATTGGGACTCTGAGACTGCAGAGCTGCAGACTTCATTTGTTAGGGCACAGAAACAGACGCGGAGAAATTGAGTTTTACTGTGATGACCAATCAAAAAAAGGAATGGGTCGAAGGTGGAGTCTACTAATGAGATTTAATCAGATTGAGAGCTAAGAGGACCAAAATGAACACTTATAACTTATTAAACCAACATCTTGTCAGTCAAGCGAAAAAGAGAGCAGATAATCATCACCGCAAGAAGTCACAGCAGATTGACAATTAAACTATCCAGGGGAAACCTATACTTAGTGACGATATTTGTTGCGTTATTGCCATGCATACCGTTTCATCAACCCTTCTATGTCCTTAGCTGAACAGCATTTAAGCCCACCTAGATACATGTTGCCTATTTAAGAACCTTTGTTGCCTTGTTGGATCTGTTGAAGAAGAGCAGCTGCAAGCTGCAGCGTTGCTTGGAGACGTTTCTGCGGATCTGCTTCAGCTTCTTGCGAACCACTACTAGACACCTGTTGACTCCCCTGAGCACCAGCCTTAAGTTCTTTCGAGGCAGCAGATAGGTTTAATAGATGCTGTGGATGCTGCTGCTGGTGGAACGGCTGGACTTCACCATAGTGAGACACAGGAAGCTCGGAAGAAGTTGCCTTCACGTCCTGGGAACTATAACCATCTGATTTTCCTCCAGAAATGTTTGGAATGCTTTGCCTCTGTTGTCCAAGAAGAGATGCCAACTGAGAAAGTTGTTCAGGTTGTAGGCTCAGAAGAGGTGTTGATGATTGAATCAGGGCTTCCCTATCCCGAACAGGCATATTGTCGTTTCCAGATAAAGGAACTCCAGAGTTTGCACTCAATTGCACCATCCTTGGTATAGAGTCAACTGTGCTGCTCGGAAGTTGTGATTGTGCGCTTCTTGTGCCTGATGAGGTTGCCAGATAGTGCGAGTTTGATTGCAGAAGATTTTGTTGCTGGGGCAGATATTCATCCCTGTCCTCACTGCAAGTATCATATTTACTAGTTCCAGCATTCAGTGGTATTGAAAATGGGACAGATGGGACAGAAGTAGCTGCATCAACCGCAAAATATCGATTCCCAGGCCCCAGTTTACTTGTTTCTAGAAATTGTGTCCTTGAAGGTGTTGATGGCTTTGGATATAAAGAATGCCCAGGAAAGGGCACTAATTTTGGGTCTTCGAGCTCATCTGGGTGGTAAGCAGCACCAAATTTGGAACCAGGTTGCTCTAATCTCAGTACAACACCAGAAATGCTTAATTTTCCAGGTACTTTTAGTACCTTTTGCGAGAATTCAGATGGTGGCACAAGAAACAAAGTGTTTCTTTCATCTAACTTAGCAACAGCTGCTCGCTGCTTCTCCTCCAGATAATGCATAAACTCATTATAGAACCCAATATCAGCATCAGTTCCAGGGACAAAAAAGACAACCCAAGTAGCGGATGCTTGGTAATAATGCTTTGCCAGCATCTCAAGACCAGTCCTAGCTGTGCAATCCAAGAATTTCGGCCTGCATTACAAGAATATTAATTGAGATTCAAGATGCAGTGAGAACACTTAATGGGAAATTGACAGCAATTCCTTTAGAGCACTTTTAGGGTGATTTTGGGTTAAGGATCATGGGCGCAGGAGCCCCAAAATACTTCAGGGGGTCCGTCTCCTAGCAGTGTAAAAAATTCAAAAAGTAGACATCATTGACTTTTTACCCAAAAAAAAAGACATCATTGACTGAGAAAGACAATGCATGAGCTCCTTATCTAGGAAAAGCATAATTGGCTGACTATGCTGGTTTATCTTCGAAATAATCCGATTATCCACATTTTGCAGAAGGTAAAATGCAATTTTGATTCAGTGAGATGACTCTTGGGAAAGTTTACATTTTATTCGTTGAACAAAATATCGAAATTTAACACCTTCATTTTTAGAAGAATTTGCTTCATGAAAATGAGATCATTAAATTTAGAGAAGATAGAGAAGTCGAGTTTAAAATCTTTGTAAGCTGAAAATTAGTAGGGCCCACAAATTCTCAAATAACAAACGCAGTTGAATTTAAAAGTCAACTAGAAGCCAAACAGTATTGAAAACATAGGCTTCAAGACCCAGTAATATATATGCATGCCATGTTATGGTTGCCAATCTCAAGCCATCATTCTACTAAAGTGGGATCCAAATTGCAAACATTAGGCAGTGCCAGAGTAAGCTGCAGGGGCAGCTCAAAAGACCATGGCATTACCATCTTAAATCAGAACAGCACTAATAAGGATTAATACACTTACAGCAAGATGTCAAGCACTTTTCCCACAGGAAAGCATCGAGCACGACATACAGGAGATCCTCCCTTTGCTATGGTACCTTCCCATTTCCACTCTTTTACTGAAGACTGTTTAATCTCTGGAGTAATTCTTTTCCTCTCAACATTTACTGTTGGCAGTGAACCAGAACCTGTCTGAATATTTTCGTAAGAGGCTCTTGGATGGTCACTCCTTCTAACCATCTGCTCATACTCGATGCCAAAGGGATCAGATCGAACAGAGTCAGATAATACATGAGAAAAAGCTTGATTCTCACGTCTTAAATCAGAGAGTTGAAACTCTGGTAGCTCATTGTCAGGAGGATAAGCATTACTCTTCAGTCTCTTTGGCCCATGAAGGACGTCGACTTCCTCCAGTATGTCCCATTGATCTTCGTAAAATGCACCTGTTTGAGAAAATCCTTGATTAGGATATGGAAGGTGAGGATCCCAATCTCTCTTTGGACTGCCACGGAATTCATACACACTATGTGATGGCCTCGATTCAGACTCCTCTTCTCCAAATCTTCTGTGCTCCAGGGAACTAAAACCATTCCTCCTCAAATTACCCTTTCTACTGAATTCATAACCATCGTGACCTTCGGAATCCAAGTCTGTGAAAGTACGAGGAGACCTGACACTAGGATTTCCAGTTAAGCCAGCATTGTCCATATCGTGCCAAAAGCTCTCCGAAGATCCATGGCGACCATTAGATTGGTAACGGGGAGAGAGAGGACCACTTATCGAGCTCCTTCCACCACTAGACGAGCCCGATTCATTTTTTGCAAAACATATATGCACACGAGGATTTCCAAATAACTTTCCTTGGAGAGTCTCTTTTGCCCTGCAAGCAGATATTAAATTTATAAACCGAACAAAGGCATAAGTGCGCCCTGGAAATGTGGTGATCCTCTCAATCTCACCAAATGGCGAGAAGGCCTTTCCTAATATTGTTTCATCCACCTTCAACGAAGCTGGAAATCCTATCCATAAAACCTCGCTAGGTTCTGCAGCTTTATCATTCATCTTGGGTCTATCGAGATGAAAAGGTTCAGGACTAGAATGGCGAACCCTAGAGTCCTTTTGCAAGAGAGGAGATTCCCTTGACGAAGGGCGTTGTTCACTATTATGTTCAAAATACTCCTCATTGTGTGACGGGACAGAGGACTTGTCCTGAGATAAGAAGATGATGTTAAGTCAGAAGGAAATTGTACAGAACTTTTTGCCATTAGAATATAAAACCAAAAATTGAACAAGCAACATTCATTGTAAAATGGATCCGTGTTAAAGTAGCAAATGAAAACCTTGAAACGGAATGAGAGACCCAATAAAGGAACAAATACAATCAAGACACATATCACAAGACTTTCTGAGATGCGGTAAGCTTTTGTCCTTGAGCAAATGAGAAATATTCTGATCAATATTATGAAGAAGCAATTGCTGTCTCTTCAACTACCTTGAACAAGTAGATCTTCAATTGACCAGCCAAGAAAAGTGTCAAGTAAGAAAAGCAAAAAGACTATTAAATGAGATATTAGTTCTACCTTTCTCATCTTTGGCCAGTACATCAGTATGGATTTTTGTAAGGTGTCAATAGAGAATAAAACTGTTCAAAAGATGAAATAATGAAGCATGTGTAATCAGAAGGAACATCTGTTCCTTTTCATCAACTTCCATCAAATGGAGAAAGTCTAATCGGTTTATTCCAGAGGAAAGAATGATGAAAGCCTCAACAAGTTGCCAAAGGGTAACACTAAGGAATTGCTTATAATCTTAGCATGACAATGAAGGTGAGACTATTCCTGTAGAGAGTACAGCTAGTAATATTATATATTGCATGATAAGGCTAAATACAATGTGAGTTATTGGGAAACTTCGAACTTGACAGACATCTTGCTCGCTAGGAAAGTATCTGACCGAATTTTAACAGAAAATAACCTTGAATAACTAAATTAACATGGTTTTTTTAATTTATTTTTTGGGCTGGAGAACATGAATTACTATTACAAACTCAGATGCGTTGCCAGATAAACAGTGTGGTTATTGGTTCTTCTACTGCTAAAAGTAAATAGACCATACGTCCACAGTAGCAGAGCATCAATAGCACAAAGGTTTTTCTAACATAGCCTCCATGTTAATGCATCCTATCCAGTATTGTGTCCTTCACTAGGGACACATATCCAAGGTAATTCGATATAGTTTCTATAGCAGTCCTACTGAAGTTTTCTCTCACCCTTCTGACACGTAGGCCTACCACAGAGTTGTGTTGCATACTCACTAGAGCACCTCATATCACGGTTCTCCATTTCCAAACCAGCTCAAAATTTGATGAGATTTGACTGACCTCTTCTCCAATCACTTACTTCCACAGGTTTCCTTTCTCAAATGCCAATATATTCTCATTCTGAAACACTTGATTCAACATCTTCAATAAATGCTAGAGAACAAGTCTTTTTTTTTCTCAAGGGTCAGAAATCCTAAACTTGCAGTCCACTCTGCAGACCATGATAAGACATTCATCAGGGATAGGGACTCTACCCTAGGAACGAGGATTCTCTTTTGGTGCAAATATTTTATTTATCCCGTCATAAATCATTGTAATATGTGATTAAAAACAATTTTCTAATCTTTACAAAAGTCTTGCTTAATACTAATAAAAAGCAAATTTGTATTAAACTACAATTAAGTTGTGGCCCATATGTGTAACCCAACCTTAATTGTTACAAAACTCTTCTACAATATAAGCAGTGAAAAAGGGGACGGATATTCTTCAAAGGTTCTTAAAAATAATCTCATATGACTACTTCAGCACAAAAATGAATATCAACCTAGAAGATTGCAGCGCATAAACCATTGAGTCATCTAAAGACTGATATAGATTCATTAGAACAACTGAGTCAGAGGAAAATGACACTTCCAAAAGCCATCCCATGAAATTTATAGCTTAAATTCTTCGGACAACAAGCAACAGAGAGGATCATATAAACTGAGTACCGGTTTCTGCTACAGTAACAATTAACAATAACTACAGCAAAGACACCAACTTTTCCGATAAAAACACAGCTTTGAGATTGCAAATACTTTGACTTTTGCATGTCATAAGTTCAGCAGCTCACTTATGCTAGATGTCTTGCTTTCAGTCATGTAAAATGGGACTCTATAGATGTCTTGCTATGACATCCTCGGTGAATAAACCCCAAAGGCATTGTCTTGAATAGTCACTACCAAGCTCGTTATGATACATACTGATCACAACAGGGACAATTTTCCATGGACCACCAACAGAGAGAACAGGAAACACATCTTTGTTCAAGAACAAGGAAAGAGCACCGGGTGACTTAAGAACAAAAACTTACGAAGTTAAACACATTCGGCAATGACATTAAGGTCAACTAACAAATAAGACTCTAGGTTTTGGAACTGCCAGACAAACAAGAAAATTCAACAGAATCATACAGAGAAAAAGCTTCAATTCTTTAGATCAGTTCTCTCAACCCAACCCCCCCCCCCCCCCCAAAAAAAAAAGAAAAAGAAAAAAGAAGGTAAAAATAAATATATAAATAAAATAATGACTCTAGATAATTAGTTTCACTTCAGATATACAATCCACTTAAGACAGATTGCTACCACAATTAGGGCCAATGGAGAAAACCATTGGAAAACTGCGCTTTCTATTCTAATCTTATTAGAGTTCTTGGACACTTGTTAAGAGAGTTTCGAGATGTGAAACAACGACCCAAATGGTTTTAGTAAAAAGAGAGAGGCAAGCCCTGGGGCCTCTCGACAATGCTCTTCCATAACCATTCAAATATTGGAAGGAAGTGCATACGTCCATTAAACTAATGCTGCAGTAGTTCAAGAAACACTGTCCTACCTTCTTTTTCTCCAGCTCAAATATTTAAAAATTACTGACCAGTGTGTAACGTTCATAATCAATATTCGAGAAACTAGTTCCCTTGTCCAAACCTAAATAACATATGAAATACGCATACTTTTGTTCTGCCTGATGATAACAACAAATACGCATAGGCAGAAAGTACAGTCTCGGATATATGCATTTAATGGGGACCTGATAAATATTGGAAACAAATGTTGCCAACCCAGAAAAAGAAGAGGCTCGGGTAGCTGGTGGGTCGGTTGTTTGGTTGTTGTCATCATTTTTTAAAGTTGAAGAGACTATCATAATGAAGCTCAAAAGAGTCGGAATAGTCACAAGTTTCCTTACCCCAAATGAACTATATCTACCTAGGACTCATCAATTAGAAAAAATATATGTTTCAATACAGCTAAAGAAAAATCCCCACCGAACATTGCTATACGATTTAAAGACCGTGACTAAACTAATAACAACCAGCATCTCATGCGTTAGAATGTTGAAATTGGAAGGATAACTACAGCACACCTTCCCTCTAGCAACAAAAGTGGAGTCAAAAAGCTAATACTGATCTGGTCCTACACTCACAACAAAGGGTTAAAACAGGATCTTCTTGGAAAAGCTTGGTTTAAAAGTGTCAAGCATTCAACAGATGTCAAAATCAGTGACTACTAAACCATTCACATAGAGGCATCTATAATCAATGTAGAAAGGTAAAACTTAAATCTACCGTTGCTTCCAAACAGGATTAAACTATCCGATTACATAAACTGAGACTAGGCCATGAACAATGCCAATGTGCTGTGATCCCTCAAAAATGATATACAATTGACAAGGCAGTAGCGATCTAGAATCACAACTGAGTGGTATCCCCTTTATTGCTCCATCTTAACACGTGTAAAACACGCGCTTGCACACATGTAGAGACTATTAGACTTCAAGTTTGAAACTAACATACTTCATTTCGTGAGCAACCACAAGAAGCTAAAATGGTCCATATAATAGATGTTTAAATAAGAATGTTCTTTACTAGTTCTTCACAAGTAACCTGATTTTTTTTGGCAAATGAGATGCAAAAAATATTGGAAATACGACTCCAAGCATTCAGTTCCGTATCACTTTCGGTTTACGAGCAAACAGTTAGGTAGTTGAGGCTCCCAAGCTCGATATGTTTTTAGGTCCTCCCAGAGAACCACATCCATCCATCCATCCATTGACTCGACATATTTTTGGGCAGAAGCCCATGAAATGCATAGCATTTTGTGCTACATCATTGGTTTGGAGGACAAGTGTCATGGTCCTCCTGGAACACCTAAAAACTTCTATCCAAACTCCTCAGGAGTCCAAGTCTTTTCATACAATAGAAGTGCATTTACCGGCTCATTTAGAAGTTGGGTAATCATCTAGAAGTTTAGGCGATTAAGAATTATATTAGTTTAGCCAAACACCTCCTTCTTTTCATGCAAATGGCACTTTCTATTGTTAAATAAGCTGCTTTGTGTACCTTTTTAACTTAGTTAAAATGCAAGTTAACATTCAATCGGCGACTATGCCACTTCAATCACAAATACTATAAAGCATTTGGATGGCAACTCTGATCAGTCCCATTATTCTCTTATCTTTTTGCATACATAGTGTGAATGCAGATATACTAAATGCACATGATAGGTGTTTTGGCTTGTCAAAAAAAATATGCACTACAATGTAAGTTTAAACTTTTGCAAATATGAACATAGTAATGAATCGAAATCCTGACACACACACGGAGATATTTATGTATTTATATGTATATATTCTGACTTTCTATTCTTGGATTTTATTGTCAAAGTTTGTCTAAAAAAACTGTATCTTTTTAACATTGAAGTAGTCATGTTAACATCTAGCATATCACATTAGGGTTTGGCTTACGCATGAGAGAGTGTAGAGAAATTACATCTATATATAAGAGCTTAAGGTTTTTAAAATAATTGATTTGCTAACATGTTTCAATAACGAGGAAAGAACAGATAACTAGGACTGCTCGTGAGTGCCAAATTATAGTCTAAAAAAATTTGAACATATCAAACTTGCTTTGTTTTGACAATTGGCTGCACAATTTCAAGTCTTGATTAACAAATGAAGGAACTAAATTGCCATAGATTGCACTGGTCCATTCAAGAAGAGAGAGTATAAAATGCGCTCTCACAAAACTTTTGCATTGTATTTTATCACCTTCTGCACTGCATATGTTCATTGACTGGTGAAAGTTTCAGAAGTTAACTAAGCTATGCGCATTGATGGCAGCATAATTAGTTTATGCAGGCAATGTATGTAGGAATTGTAACAGCATATAGTATATCTCAAGATTTGTGGGACTTTTTCTTCCAGCTGAATAACGAATTCATGCAGTTGAATTTAGCTCAAGTTGACCTACCATGTGAAGAACAAGTTCAATGGACCGGAAAAAACTCTGTTTTTAATCGCTTATATCAATCATAAAAAACATCGAACCACTTTAATGGCCCACTTGGACTGGAGCACACTTGCAACTAGTTGGAAGAAAATATTGGAGAGGTAGTGTGGGTTTATTAAATCAGATGCTGGTTGGCTACATTTGTTGTGGATATCTCAATCTCTCTTGCATGCTTGGTTTAAATTTTGGTGCTTTTTATTGTGACGAAGCTGCTTACATTTCATTTGCAAAGCGATCAACTCACTGAGTTTTGGCATTAAGAACTTGAGTGACATGATTGATAGTTATATATGATGATGGTACCATCTGCATATACTCAAAGAACTCCAGATTACTTGATCTCAGGAATATCCTTGAGTGATAATTCTTTTCCAGTTAACCTTGGTGATTTACTGTAACTTTACAACTGGAACTGCTAAATGCATGCTGGATTCATATTTCTCTCTCTGACCTGCATCTGTGCCAATTGAATTTACTTCAATAGGACCCAGATTATACGCTACATACTACAGCTCCCTTCATCTCTTTTCATTTTACTTTGGTTGCTATCTGGATTCTAACCGAACACTTCATTCTTTTTCACCCAATATTTTCCTTCACAGTGTGTCTCCCATTTTTCTGCTACTTTATTGAGGTCCTCCTCATAACGATGTGAAAGTAGATAAAAGAAAGCAGTTATTCGTTCTATAAACCACCGATCTAATGTCAAATCCCGATTGTTTACATTGTTGCTTATGCAAGAAAAGTAGTGATTGAGTGGATGATCCTCTTATTCAATTTGGGCTCATATTGTTGACCTTCAATTTTAATAATAGTTGTACTTTATGTCTTACCAATATTACAGAAAACTTTATATAAATTTGAACACAATCTCGTAAAATCATTTGCATAGCCAATCCCAATTTGTGAAATAAGCCTTAATTTATTATTTCTGTCATTGCTGTAGTGTAGGCCGGGTCATTCCTGAGTCTGATGGAACTTCTTTCTTTATGGAGAAGGTCAAGAGTTTGAGACTTGATAAAAGAACCAGTAAGCCTTTACTACTAATTATTACACCAAGTAGCTGGCACAAACAAATGGTAGAGTTAATGAAGGACAAGAACCACTAGCAGATGCAGGGAAGTTCATCATCCTCAATGCTGGAGCTGATTGGGTTTCAGATTGGATTGGTTTTGATTCCTCCCTCGTTTATGTTAAGTGGAGATTTCTACACTTGCTGCAGATCCTTTTTTGCATCTGTATCTAGTGCAAAACCTGTATACTGAGACTAGCCATATTTCTATTGTAATGGTTCAATTGTCCAAAACAAAATCCCCTGACAGGACATTATCAGTTAACGCACCATGACTGTATAAGTGGCAGTTCAAATGAAGTTCTTTTTACAATGAAAAATGGGTGCACGTATAAGCAGATCACAGATGGTTGACCTTTGATTGAGAACAAAAGACAATCATAAGACTATTTAAACCATGTGTAAACATGGGATGACAAGCTTTTGCTTCAAACACTTCCCAAGATGATTCTCCTAGCATTTATCTAAACGTTTCATTATCTTTAGGCCAACATGGTTGAAAATCACAGCTTCATAAAATTTTAACTAATTAAGATGTTTTGCTTCTCATATTTCTTCCCAAGATTCTTCTTGGTCTTCTAATTGGAGCTATATGCATATTGTGCTGACATTGATAACTTTCGATGAAAGTAAAAGCATGTATTGAGCATGTCGTGCTGCATTTTTCATTCTGCCTCTTAAGCAATAACAACCAAAATTTCATTGTTGTTAGTTAATATCTAAGCACCGTGCACCTGATCAAGTTTCCCCTTTCTCCTGTCTGAGAGATGGAATGGAGATCATTAACAATTTTTGACCTGTAATCAAATGTACTTTTAAAAACGCAACACCTTTTTTTCATGATTTGTAATGGAGCAAACCTCTCGGGATACGCAATATGTGGATTAGGTCAACATGTCGGATTTTAGAGATGCTGTTTGGTTGTGATGATATTGTCGGGACAGATTCTTGATAAGCACTTGTGAAAGATATTGAGACACATAATGGTCTTCAGGCAATGAAACCATTTGATTGATTGAAAAACAAACATTGAAATATACAGTCATAGATAGATACGACCACACAACAAGGTGCTTGAAGTTAAAAGAGTAACAAAGGTTGGGGGCAAGACTAACCACCTTTGCAAACTCAATTCTAAGTGGACTGCCAGCGAGAGGAAAGCCTTGGAGCGCTTTCAGGGCAGCAATTGCTCCGTCCTCAATTTTGAAGTTAACGAAAGCATAGCTACGTCCCGGTTGAAAAGCAACACTCTCGAGCTCCCCGAACCGCAGGAATGGGCGGACGAGATCGCCTTCCGAAATGGAATGAGACAAATTCCCGACCCACAGATGCCTAGACGGGGGCGCGCCGCTCTGCCCCGAGGAGCTCCTATCCTCAAGCCTCCGAGGCCTCTCCCTTCCTCCTCCTATCCGGCCGCTCTACGCACAAAAACCAATTTCAAAGCAATCAGGCACCCGCCCAAAAGGAACCGCAGCGACACGATCAAATCAAATGGACTTTCTTAGGCTGAAATCGATCTAATAATGAACCAGTCGACAACTAGCAAACAAAAGGCAAAACCCCATCAGTGCATCCCTTCCAGGGCGACTCCCAATCCCGTAAAGATCGAATCTTTCACACATGAAACCCAGACGACAGCCTCGAACAATCGACCCACTTCACTGAAATCGACCGAAATCAACCATCACCCATTAACAACGACACACCAACGAGACCCTGGAACCTACTGATTGGGAGCAAAAGAACCAGCCAAAAAGAAGGAGGCGCATCGGATGGCGAGTGCTAACCATCTTCGGAGGAGACGCGACTTCATGAAAAAGGGATGGGGAAACTCGATGCGGGAAGGAGAGGCTGTGAGGCTGGCGATCCAATCAATGGCGGCCAATGCGAACGCGAATGCGGATTCGGATCGCGCTTGAAGCGATGAACGATCGCAGGTTGAAGAAGAAGAAGAAGAATCTACCAGAGACGCACACCGGAACTCACGAAGTTCTCACAAAATACTCGGGAAGTAGCGAAAAGCTGCTGCTTTTTTATTTGTTTTCTAGGGTTCGATAATTTGGGGAGCAGAGCAGCAGTGGCTGCCCAGCTGCTGACGTGGATTTGATATGGTGACGTGGCACTATGATTCTCCTACGTGCCTCTCCTTCTGACTCTTTTTTTTTCTTATAATATATGTTCGCACTATATTTACCATGAGAAAAATTTCAAATAAGGACATAAAGTGTGCTTATTTTAAGTGATTAAATCGTCTCAAATAAAGATATGAAGTTGCCAAATCATCTCAAATAAGGATTTTTTGATGGCTGGCCAACATGTGACTATTCCAACGGAGGTATTTTGGTCAAAAATACTTTAATTTTTTTTACTTTCCTTTCCTTTTCTTTTTCTTTTAGCTTTTTCCCTCTTCCCTTCATCGGTCAGCGATGGCTTGGGCCAAGGTCAATAGGGCAACCTCGGGCGAGGCTAATACAATTGCATTTGTTACTGCTCTTTAAAATATGCGACCCTTGCCTATTGCAACCCTTGCCCAACGCTACCCTCCAAGGGCAATCCTCACTTGTGCCAAATCCAGCGAGGGCAACATTAATAAAAATTAATTAAATTATAAAAATTTAAAATTCAAAATTCATAAAACAAATTTAAAATTAAAAAATCAAACCAAACAGGAAATGAAATTTTTAAAATTCAGGGCGAAGGAAAATGGGAAAAAAAGAAAAACTTTTCAAAACAAAATAAAATTCATGAAAAAATCCATAAAAATTAGAAATTAAAATTCAAATTCATTAACAAAATTTAAAATCCTAAAAATTAAAACTCAAAACCCTAAATATTCAAATTCTAAATTGAAAATTTAAAAATTTCATAAAATTTTCAAAAAAAATAGATTAGGTAAAAATTTTACCAAAAATATAAAAATAAATAACGAAAATGCATTTTATGGTTAGCTAGGTCGGATCTTTTTTTTAAAATTGATATGGCCACTTTATAATTTATATCCTTATTTTAAATAAAATTCGCACTTCATATCCTTATTTGAAAAAAAAAAGAGATCATTTCATGTATTTACTTGAAATTTTTCCTTAAATATATATACAGGATTTATTGAATAAAAAAACAAACTTTGAATTATATGTGCTCCAGCGGAAATGAGGGTCGAGGCTCGGAGAAAATCTCTCTCGACGCCCTCCGCCGCCTCCCCGGCGACGTCGCCGGCGCCTTCCGCCGCCTCCCCGGAGACGACGGCGCCTCCCGCCGATCAGGTTAGGGTTTCGTTCCCCAGGAAGGATCTTAGTCAGCGGCCGTAGTCGTACAATCTTCTGATGGGCGTGATCGGTAGGAGCTTTCAGTAGTTGTCGGGGGTGTGCATTGCATTTCCGACTTCAAGCCGTCCTCTCAGTCTCCTGAACGCTTTTTTGCCCTTTTTCTTTTGCATGGATGATGATTGTTACTGTTGCTGTTCTTGTTGTTTGTTGTTATTTGTCTCCTTCAATGTGGTTGAAATCGGAGTTTAGGACGGGATAATGGGTAGAGAGCATTGTCTGATGAATGGGCAGATGCTATATCGTGCTCTTTTGAGGATGGTGGTTCGAGCTGTTATGTGGGTTTTTCTCACTTGGGTTCTACGTACATGGACTTGAGGCCAAAAGCGTGTGATCCACTTCTTTTCGCATTCGGACGAACTGGTCCGGGGCTATCGGTCATGTCGTGTGGCACTGATATTTGGAAGGGGGTTTTTGGCCTCGTTCCTCTGGCTGTTTGGTGGAAGTTTTGAGGGGGGAAGCATGATCCTTGGAGGAGATGAGTCTTTGTTTATCATAACGAGAGATGGCTTGAAATGTTTGTTATTTGTCAACTATTTACTATTGGGCTGAGTTAATTGTTTTAAGTTCACGTGTGATTATGCGTGCTTGTGAAGTTTCGATAAGTGACAATATGGATAGATACTATGTCCCGTGATTAATGTGTTTGGTTTGTTTCTCAGCCAAGAAATCCATGCTGTCCAGAGAATGTAGCCAACAAAGGGGATAACGTGCCCAGCACAAATGAATGTAATGAGAGAGTTGAGCAGCATGGAGAAAAGGTTCCCAGTACTGATGCTGCGAAGATTTTACCTGTTGGAAAATCCCAAAGCGGAGGTTTTCAAAATATATCTAGTCAAGAAAGTATGGACATTTATATATTGGAAAAGAGGACTTGTTTAACATGCAATAGACGCGGCCAATTGCTAGTCTGTACTGAGCCTAGCTGCCCAATTGCTATCCATGAGAAGTGCCTGAGCTGCAAACCTGAATTTGATAATTTGGGGAACTTCTATTGCCCTTATTGTTCACACAAAAAAGCGGTGGTTAATGTTTATGAATTGAGAAGAAAAGCCATGTTGCGCAAAGAGGCTTTATCTAATTTTCTTGACACTGGGGTAGTTGATGAGGGGCAGAAGGAGCAGAAAAGTGGGGAGGATAAGAGGAAAGACTTCAATCTATCTCCATCTCCAGGACATGACAGTCGCCATGATGATGTGAGTAAGGAAAACACTGAAGGGCAACATCAATCTGATCCTGTAAATTCAGTCGACAGTAAACATGAAGCGCTGGTTGAAAATCAAACAGATACATCTCCTAGTGTCCATGGTCAGAGAAATTTAGTCCATGAAGAAGGGTTGCAAGAAGAGGAATTGAGAGAAGCTATTGATAACCACTGTGAGGAAGTAATTGATCAAGAGAAAGCAGATAAGGCTGATAATCATCCTTTAGAAGAAGTGGCAGCTGAGGATGCTGTGCCGTCTAAATCTTCTGAACGAAAAAGGCATCGTAAAAGTATTCGCAGAAGTCAAGGGCTAAGTAAGAAACGAAAACGGAGGAAGTTCCAATCAATTGATGCTACTGTATCTTCAATTCAAGGAGATTTTGCCACTGATGTGAACCCAGAAGCGAATATAGGAGGTGAAGTATGTGATTCTGATGCCGAGGCTGGTTTCATGAACAATGGACATTCTCCAAGTGTAAAACCCCAAGGCAAGGCACCAGTGGAGGAGGCTGATTCACCGAGAAAAGGTTCTTCTGAACCAGGCATCAGTATTATCAACCATAAAGAGTCCCATGATGGAAAGAAGAAAGTCGCTCCTGCTGAAAAGTCAAGACAACAACGATGGTCTCCCAGGGAAATGTGAGTGATTTTGATGAACTTGAGAAAGTTTACTGAATTATAAAATTCATCTTCTTAAAAAATTGTAGCAACGAACTGGATTTATGGGGAGTGCTATTGTGGTTTTAAATGCAGACCGAAGCCACCACTTCCCAATGTAAAGCGCAGATTAAGATGGTCACCTGAAGAGGAGGAGATCCTAAAGGCAAGTCTTTCTTGTTATAGAATCCTTTTCTTGTTTGTATCTTTTCAGGTTGCATGTCTTTCCTTCAAAAATAGCCAAATCCTCAGCCATGCTCTTAAAACTTGGAAACAAGTAACCAGTTTTAGTCTTCAAAATGATGAGGATATGATATAAGGATCCACTGAGTCCTTTAGATTGTCTTTGATTTTTTTTTTCTTTTTTACCTACACCTGTACTGTTTACAGCGAGTCTGAATAGCTAGCTTGTACAGATAATGTATATCCACAGATGTATCTATATATAGAAAACCATAACTCCATTTCAAATAGATTGAACTGTACTCTCTAGTGAATTGCTGGATGTTTCCTCCTTTTGGGCATAGTGATTGATCGGTTGGTAACTTCGTTCAATCAAACTAGTTCATTTTTTTACTAGTAAAGGCTTTTCTTGAGAAATCAATACAAGAGACAGAAAATACAAACAAGTACCAAAAGCGATGCTAAGACTAGGCAAAATCAGAGCAAGATGATCGAGGATGAATAGAAGACTGAAAAAAGATGGCAACAAAATTTTCAGTTCCCTCAAATAGCCTTTTGTTACGCCCTATTCAAATTCCATTGTCCTTTTAGTAATTCTCGTAAGTTCTTTCATTTTTCTGATTGAGTTACGCTGTCAAAAGTGTTTTATAGATTAGAATTTGCTATTAAAGGCTTTTGTTGAGCTAGAGATGCTGGAAAGTGTTGTGATTTGGTGATTCTCGAATTTCATTCATATGAAACGATATGCTGCAGGAAGGGGTGCAGTTATTCTCAAGCAATGCGAATAAGAATATCCCTTGGAGGAAAATTCTGGAATATGGTTGTCGTGTTTTCAATCCAAGTCGCACATCTGTCGATCTCAAGGATAAATGGAAGAACATCACTACCAGAAGATAGCGATATCAGTCAAATAGTTTTTGAAGAGGGCAAATTCATTCAGAAGACGCTAGTATTTTACTACTATCTTCGTCCACCCTACTCTCTCTCCATCAGGATTTAGTCGGTTTTTGGTGGGGGAAGCCTCTCTCGTAGCTCTGAACGGCAGTATTTGTACATAAGTGAACTCCCTTATGATGAACTTGATGTTCAGCCATTTGCAAAAGGAAACTCGTTTTGCTGTGGCCATTACAGAAATGGCATCATGACTTCCGATGCGATTCTCTAGTTGGGCGTTTCTTAAATTCCCATGCAAGTAACAAGAGTCTGAGGATTCTTTCATCTTCAGATTTAAAGTGAGAATGTCCTAAGTCGTTCAGAATCATGTTCATGGAAAATGGTTGGATTGGATCGACAAGTTTTTATGTTTTATGTGGACTCAGAGAGGGAATGATATCCCACCAAAATCGTAGGAATTGGTTCAGTTCCGTCCCGGTAGAATGAACAGGAGTCAAAGATTGCTTGCCGATGCGCAATGTGGACTACTTATCTTCTTTAGTCCTGAAAGCCTCTGAAATGAGATCTCATCAATTCCAGGCGTGTCGTCGCCATCTTCCAATTTTTTCGATGAACCAAGCACTGAGAAATGGAGACAGTCCTAGGGGAGGTTTCTGCGCATTTCAAATAACGCAAAATGCTAGAACGAAATATTGCAGATTTTCACACACATGCTTACCTCGCTTATTAAGAAAAAAGACCTTACATCATTGAGAAAAAACACCTCACATCGTAAAGTATTCAAGTCCTCTCTTCCTCTGTTACTTACATCCGGCTGCGCTGAGACATACATCTTAGATTTCGTGGGAGAAACATGAAGTCATTCTAAAGAGATAATGACTTCCAGTTACATCACTTTCTCAATGCAAAGCTTTTGCTAGATCCGCAATTGGAGAGTTTCTAAATCACGGTTCCGCTGGGAATCAAAGCATCCTTGATCACTGTGACAATCCCACTCTTTATAAAGTACCCATCTGTTTCTCTTGCAGCTTCTTGAACATCGTCGCTGTTAATGATCTGGACCATAAAGCAAACACCAGTTAGCCTCCAAAACGCAATGACAAAAAGGGTCATGAGACCAGTTTCACGCTAAGTGATCATGGTCGAACTAGTCAATCATTGTGAAATCACAGAAACAAAAGAATGGTGTTCGGTATGCAAGCCTACCTTCACATTGTCCCCTATTCGGGCGTTTTTGTCGATAATTGCTCTCTTAACGTGCGAATTCTTGCCGATACCGATGGGGACACTACCCTTGGCAGCCAGAAATCTCCTATCAGCATCCGTCTGGAGCAAGAAGAGATGGGACAACAGGTCAATATGCACCCGAATACATCATCATAACGGGAGAATAGTGAGTGAATCTGAGTGCATCGCTCAACTGAGAAAACCTCAATCATTCAAGGGTGATGATTACCTCATAATAATCTGCTCCCATTAATAAGGTATCTTCTATTATCGCACCCTCTGAAATGCAAGATCGAAGTCCTATCACCGAATGGTGGATCTTGCAGTTCTGCATTTCAAGAAATAGGAAGGTAATAATTGAATGATTTATCTATTTTCTTTGGCACTACTCATGACTTAGAGAGGACAAAATATCATGCATTGTCAGCTAATTCAGAAGTAAACACCAATGGCCTGAGGAAGATACCTTAATAACGCATCCTTCGCCAATAACACTGTCTGTCACATCAGCATCTAGCATCTTGGAAGGAGGCAGATAGCGTGGTTGGGTGTAAATTGGAGATGAACGATCATAGAAACTGCAGAAGGAATAGATTGGCATCAAGTCATTCGTCCATACAGTGGTCTATTAAGATTATCAAGCAATGTGCAGAACTCAAGAAGGCAATCTGCAATTTTGTTATGGAATGATCATTAAGTGAGAGATTTTAGAACATGAACCACCTGAAATCTGGCACTGGCTTCTTAGTGATCCCTAGGTTTGCATTATAGAATGCCTCGATTGTACCTATATCTTCCCAATATCCATCATACAAGTAAGCTTGCACCTGTAAAAGCAGAAAAAGAGATATGATTATAGAACTTGTTGAAACGAGGAATGTGAAACGGATTTAAGGAAAAAGGAAGCTAAACAAATTCATACGGTACGGCAATTCCAAAGTGAGTTACTGTTACTACAGAAAACAAGAACCTGTTCAAAGGTCAAACTATCCAGGTCAATTTGACAAGAAGTATATGTTATAACACTCACTCTCATCCCAATGGAAGTTGCACCGGGAATGACTTCACTTCCAAAGTCATTGGCTCCAGGAAACTTGTCTCGGAGAAGATTGAGCATCACATCTTTGCTAATAACGTATATGCCCATGCTCGCAATGAAAGGCATTTCCTTTGCTCGCTCATCATCAAGACCTAAGATAGTGGTGTCAACCTACAAAAGGGAAACAAGGTAACTAAAACCATAGAAACCAAAGCACTTCCTTTGTTGCTAGCAGAGAAAGATGACAGAGATCAATGAGAGAAGAATTAACCTTCATGGCTTTTAGTTGCTCTCCTTTTGGCTTCTCAGAAAATTCAATGATACGTCCTTCTTCATCTATCTTCATCAAACCAAATGCAGTGGCACGTTTTTCGTCCATTGGAAGTGCAGCCACAGTGATATCAGCATCAGTTTCTCTATGGGCTTGAATAAATCTCTCATAATCCATTCTGTACAAATGGTCCCCAGCAAGAACAAGGAACTCCAAAACATCATGCTCCTCAAAGAGCCACAAGTACTGTCTGACTGCATCTGCAGTGCCCTGTAATCAGATATCATTAAATCAACATAATTGACGAGGACCATTTTCTCGAATAGCGTAAGCTGCTAGGAAACGGGCTCGATATATACATGAAGCATATTGGTAACGATTGCCCTCATGTGTTAGGCAAATGACCAGCGATGTCAATTAAGTAGACCAATGGCTCCAGAAACAATGACCCGAACTTTGCACCAAACTTCTTGAACCAATTAATCATTAAATTATGAACAACTCAGTCACAGCTATGTCAATTAATTAGACCAGTAGCTCCAGAGACATTGATCAGACATTTGCAGAATAAGATATTCAATCAATTAGTCATTGAAGCTGGAACGACCAAATGTGAAACAACAGATTCAGCCAAAAAAGTTTTAAGACTGGTTTTGTAATTACCTGAAACCAGTTAGGATTCTCCGGGCTCTGCTGAGCAGCAAGAACTTCAACAAAACCTTCATTTTTGTAACCACCCATGTTGCTGGCATAAGCCCGAGAAAGGTGACGGTTGAGAGATGCAGAATTGAACTGCGTGAGGACATAAATCTTCGATACGTTGCTATTCAAGCAATTGCTCACAGGAATGTCAATCAGCCTGTAATTTGCTCCCAATGGCACGGCGGGTTTCGCTCTCTTCTTAGTCAGGGGGTAAAGACGGGTCCCGGCCCCACCTCCAAGTATAATTCCGAGAACACTCTAGAGAATCACAACAGAGACAATGCATCCAGAGTGAGATGAAACCTCTTCGATTTGGTTTCCTCACAACAGTGAGGAGCATAAAGTTCCAACCAGCGATCCAAAAGAAAATTCACAAAAATGCAAGACCAACTGTGCAAATGATTAATATCAAGATGTCTCCTCGATGTCTACCCGATAAACTACGCTTAAAGAAGTCGAACACCCAAAATTCGATCCAAAAGTTGCATTGAAATCCCGCTACGAGCTAAGTACTTAGCGACACCTCCACCAAGCTGTATTCCAAAGACAATACGCAGAAAACCAGACAGTAATGGCACCACTACACACGAAACGGGCAAGGGAAAAAGATCGACAATGATTATAAAAAAAATGCTCCCTTTTTGCATTAGCACTTGAAGTTCGTCGTATCAGTAGGCCTCAACTTGTCCTGTGAAAAGATTCTAAAATAAGCAAATCAACCGGAATCGCGTCTACCGTCTAGTTGCATCACATTTCAATCAAAGGCACGACATTTTTAGCGACAGATTTTCGCGCATCAGATCACGAACACATCGAGTCCTTCCAATGCCCGAGAGGAGGATAAACACCAGAAGACGAGAAGGAAGAGGGTCTAACGCGGCTGGCGTCGGGGTCAAGGCACGTCTGCGAGTTCCTGGAATCGGAGACGGCTCTGGGGGAGACGACGACCGGAGCCCTCCGGAAGCTCTTGAGAGCGGCGGCGGCGGCCGATGCCGATGCGATCTTGCCGCCGGAGACCTGCGACGAGGCGAACGACAGGGCGGAGGCGCACCGGCGGCCGTTGCACCTGCTCCGGAGGCGGGACTCGGAAGCCGCCGGAGGCGGAGAGGACGAGGACGAGGACGAGGACGAGGAGGAGGAGGGGACACTGAGGGCCCCCGCGGCGGCCACGCTCGCCATTGCCGCTGGCGAAGTCGATGCGGGCGGCGGTGCACCGGTGGCGGTGGCGAGTGTACGGACGCTGTGGGAGTGCAGAGAGAATTTTTGTGGAGAGGAAGGAGTGATGGAGCGGAGAGCAGGCGGAGTTTGATATGATCTGATGGGCCCTCGGGATTTGTAGTGTTCCTGCTCTCGCTCGTTAAAAGAGAGTGGGAGAAGTGAATTGACGGAATTGGCCCTCGGGGATCTGTACACAACAAATCATATTCAAATCGAAATTGCTTTTTCGTAAAGTTTGATTTGATTTAAGAGTGCTCTTTCTAAAAAAAATTCGTATATCTATTGAATTTTTTTATATATGATATAGCCTTTCTTTTTGAATTATTTTTATGAGTGAACTTATGGACTGTTATATTTATAAAGTTTGGTTCTCTCGAGAAATCGGTTCTCTTTCTAAGTTGCTTTTTAGTGGATTTAAAGCCCGTACGATTAGGAAAAATTCGAAGAGAAAAAAAGAATAATGGAATAAAAATGGTTCTGATCGAACCGAACTGAACTGCATCTCGAAAAATGGTTTGGTTTGGTTTTATTCGAGAGATAGTTGTTTAGACCATTTTATGATTTTTTTCTACTTAAAATGTACCAACATATGGGGATTGTGATTCTGACCAAAAAAATATATGGGGATTTTGATGAAAGCAATTTCTAATTGACATAATCGTCAATTCAATTCGATAGTCACATTCTCAAATGAATCAGAGATCACTCGCCAAAAAATATGAAAACTAGCAATTCGAACGTTCGAGAAGATTTTAACTTGTGCATAGTACGCTGAAACATCACCTTTCTAGGGTAACATACTACTGCATGCAC